TATATATATATATTTAAATAATAAAATAAACTACTACTTACTACTTGTACTACCATTTCTACTTTGTTGTTTTTCACTTATCGCGAGTCTTCAGGGTATGGTTCCACGCGATATACGAGGGACTACTGTTTATATTTTCCACTTCACATTTACAGGATGCATTACTTTGTGCTGGTCTATCACATGAAGTCCCAGTAAAATTCTTTAAATATTGTGGTTGTTATGTAACAAAATCTGGAAAAGTTCAGGTGATGTGAAGACTTTTTGAAGACACGGTAGATACCAAAGTTAAAGTTTGAGGAAAACTAATAATTTGATGGCTTAGATTAGACCCTTTTTAACAGACCAGTAGGCTCTTAGGATTTACTTTGATTTAGGTTGAGACAAGTCTTAGTTTTAGACAGAGCTGTTGGCCAGGTGCCAGCCAAATATAATGTAGAATGAATTTTTAAGTAAAATCTAAAAACACTTTTCACTTCTTGCATTTTGCAATCAACAATTCTCATATCAAAATATAGAACTAACAGTTCACCTCAATTTTGTACTTTTTGACAATTTAACAAAGTATTTAACACAGTTAGACATATGAGCTATAAATATGTAGTGAAGCTGTTGATTTCAGCCTGCAGTGCATTGTTGAAGTGCTTTTTTTTTTTTCCAATTTACATGTTAGTAGAACACAACTTTTGACTTTTAGTTTCTTTAAGACTGGTTACAGATTGCAGGGTATATTTGTATAAATTAAACTAAGTTTGTACATACATGTTCACACTACATACATTCTACAAGTGTATGCAAACAGTGAAAGTGTTGTGATGTAATGCATTTGTAGTTTGCTTACATGGCATGCGTTGTTAACAGCTCATCTATTGGGTTCTGTTTATTACACCATAAGAGTTGTGTGCTGTTGGTTTTGGTCTAATCTCTTGTAAATGATAATACTGTTGTATTTTTAATGATGGTGCAATATCTGATCTTATGTTTTTCTCTACAAAGCTTTTCGACTTGATGTTTCTCTGTAAAGGAGAAACTTTAAATGAGTGTTATATTTTTTGTATTCTTGGAGACCTCCTCATACTTCAAGGATTTTAAACTGAGACTTACAGACTCATTACTTTTTCCTACAGACTCTAAATTTCTTCCAGTGGCTTACTTGTTTGAAAATTTGCTCCTCTGTGCTTCCAAGATAAGCCACTAAATTAGGATGAATGGGTTTAGGAAGACAAGACTGTTGTATTTCTGTGAATCATTACAACACTAGCATATCATTGTTTGTCACATCATCTGCTGTACACCTTTCATCAGAAAGTAATTTGACAGCATCATTTCCACATCTTGTTGATAACAAAAACTTTGCAGGTTTTCACAAATTAATATTCAATGATTCAATTATTATTGTTATGACTATTTTAATATTATAAGTACATCCCTTTAAAAAAATACTTGGTACAGTATGACATGAACAATTAAATGCAGGTAATATTTACACACAACACTTTATGTTTATGTTTAGCTTTCTTTAACATTTCCTTTTCCTTTCTTTTTAGCTTTGCTCTTTAGGGGTCGTCGCCACAGTACAGTATATCAGCTGCCTCCATTTAACCCAAGACTTTATATTCTCTTCTATGAAATGAACCATCCACCTATTTTCCATAAACTTCATCCATAAACCTTTACAACTTTGTCCAATAGATCCAATATATCAACTATCCCATTACCACTCTGAGCTCTCGTTAGAGTTGCATTTGGGCCCAAAAAATCCGATCCGACCCGGCCCCAGCCCGTAACCTTCATTTCCGAAACCCATCCAACCCGACAAATTAACAGTCCAATAAACAGGTCCGAACCCGAAAAAAAACAACTGACATTTTTAATTAAGCTTTGACTGCTTATATAGTTATTCACAGTCGGCGGACACGCTGCTGAATAAAAGAGGCAGAAGATCAGAGCTGAGAGGGTGTTTGTCCTTTCATGGTCGTCAAAGTGCATTAAATACCTGCTTCTGCCTGCATTCTGCATTATTCAGACACGGACCCTGCTCTGACATGCCTGCTTTGGGATCTCACCTGTTTGGGTCATCGGCCGTGCGCGTCTGCTGAGTGCAGCGGCTGAACATCCATTTGGGCGATGGATCGCTTCCTGGCAGTACCAGTAGTCCCATCTGAACCTTAAGTGAACTTTATTTTACCTCTTTCGAGGCTGGTCAGTTCGCGGTAAAATGGCTGTATACGGCTGGTGAAAGTATGGCAAGCCATGTTGCCATATAATTAAATTTTATGGCGAGCCATGTTTCCATATAATTTGATTTTATGGTAAGCCATGTTGCCATATAATAGTATTTTATGACAAGCCATGTTGCCATATAACACAATCAAAAGCACGACACTGACCCAGCCCGCCCATCCAGTACATTATCATGGTTTCGGGTCTGGGTTAGAAATGATAGCTTAGCTCTCGTTCACCTTCTACCTATTCTCACTACACATCACAGTTCAAAAAGCGTTCAATACAAAAACAACTGGACTTTATTTGTAACAGAAGACGTTTCGCTCCTCATCCGAGGAGCTTTCTCAATTACACATCACAGTGTTGTCTGCAAACAGTGCATGTGAGCATCACTATTGCAAATATTTATTTTCTTTAAATTTTATTTGTTATAAAGAATCATTCCATGCATTTCCACCCCGTATACAACAAAAAAAACAATATATAGTGATAAGAGAGCAGGAAAGGTTTTATCAACTTTTAATGTTGTGTTCCTTTTAAAAAGACATTCACACATTTCAAATATCTTGTATAATTTGGCAGATGTTATAAATAATTCCTTCTCTAAGTGGTTCTGTTAGACTTGATAATGAGACCATTGCTTCGACCAGCTCTTCACATGCTGAAATGCCCCAGACATATTGAGTCCTTTAATATTATCACACATCATGAAGAGGAGACAAAGAAATCTCTTCCCATTTTTTAAATTCTTTTAAAAAGTTAAATGATTCTTTCACATTCTCAGAGACTCAGCGAGACTCAGTCTTGTATTGATACAGTGTTACACAAAATTATGATTACAGTCACATGCTGACACCACATTTTAGTAAACTATTGATAAAGTACTTAAAGTACCTAATGTTGCCTGGCCTCAAATACTAAATGTACATTAATATTAGGCAAAAAGGTGAAGAGACAAAACATGAAATGTCTTGTGTTCATGCTGTCTGCAAAGACAAAAGTGAGCTTTGCTGTTTTTTCTCAACTTGTTCCAACTTTTTTGTATTTAAACTGCAGATATAAGTAAAATGCACATGGGACTAATTCATATTAACATGCTCTTCCTCATATTCCCACAAGAGGGAGATCCAACATTTTCCATTGGTCAGTTTGAGCTCACAGTCTGGGTTCAGTCAGTTCAGTTTATTATAGTTTATCACTTTCCAGTCAGAAATTAAAATATAAAACCAAACCAAAATCAGGTATTTTATGTGTTTCTTCTCATATATAATCCAAACAGGTGTAGAAGTGACTAACTGACAATTAAAAGAACATTTTCTGTTTTATTGCATTTCTCCTCTGTTTAATACAGTAATATTTAGTCAAGCTCCTTTTATTCTTTTAAAAAATACTCAGACTGAATTACAGAATTAAATAAATTGCTCGTGGATTAAATGTTAAAACGTTTTGTTAATACAGGTGTTTCTGACCTTTACTACTGAAAGAGACATTGTTATAGTCTTTCCTACTAAATAAAAACTGTATAAT